AGAAATGGTATGTACCACATTGAATTAAATGTGAAATAAAGAAAGAACTAGTATTTTCTTGTATAACATACTCAAATAATCTCTATTCTTTATTTACAGCTATGTTTTTTTTTTTTTTTGCAGTGTAGCCTTTGGTGTTAAATTCAGTAATAATAACTAACTTATTATTATTATTATGAATTGACAAGTAAAAGTAAATTTAAGCCATTTGAGTTCGATTCCCTTAAAAGTGTAAACACTGAGGCTTCATAACACACGCACGCACACACACACACACACACACACACAAAATCAATAAAATAATGGGAGTTCCCATTATGCATATTTAGTTTATGATTGCTCTGTGTTATTTGTAAAATTGGTCATTTCATCTTTGGACCGCATTATTGCACGATAATATTTTAAAGGTTGCAATTGCAATTATATTGTACTAAATATGCTTTCCAACACGCAGGCAGGGTGGATCTGTTAGATGTGACTATAATAAATCCCCTGAGATATTTATGAGTTGGAAAATGTTGACCTGTTGATAATGAGAAAATATGATGGTGGTAATGGTAGTGTTTTATCTCCATTGTGATAAAATAGAGGTTTTCCCTGGAGAAGAGATCTATTATAGCAAAGATTAGATTCTGGAAGAAAGTTAGTTAGACCATGTGAACAATATGACCTGACCTGATTATTTTATCATTTTTTATCCATTGGGATTTTAGAATCAATGCAAAGAAAATCTGAATCATGTCATCCCTTGTGAAAAAAGTAGTCCACTTAATTGTATTGAGTGCATTAAATGTATTCAAATTCTTAAAATATATATACAGATATACTTGTAATATGATATTAATGAAGCGAAAAAGGCCATTTAAGTGTACTTAAATGAAATTACATACCTGTATAAAGATTGGGTCAAAACATTACTCAAAATTTAGCCAAATGCATTTAATATAAATTTAAACTATAATATGCTTTCTTTTAATTGCAGTTAATATGCAGTTAAGTGTGTGAAAACATATTTGGTCATGTTTAGGGATGCAACTATACCATTTTTTCAGATCCGATCCGATCCAGAAAATTCTGAGTATCGGCTTATTTCGATCCGATCCGATACAGCGCAGTTTTTTTTAAATCAATGTAGAATTTCTATACTTCTGTGTATTGACCTGATCGTCACTCTTTTGTGTGTTAAACACAATCTACTAAATATAGACAACTTCATCTTAATGAAAAATAACATGAAAAAATATATCATAATCTATGACAAAAAAACGACTCCGAGAAGTTCAAAGCGCAAAAGAAAGAGATATTGATGCGTAGTTTATTAAATCTGTGCGATAGTTTATTGAGCTTTTTCTTTTAACAGTTTTACATTTCGGTTACTGTGCGCTCTTGAAGAGAGTTTCATTATTTTGACTGTCGTAACCGAACGGGACCCGCAGTGTGAATGCTGAATGCATGGAGGATGACAAACAGCTGCAGCGGAGAGAAGAGTTTACGTGAACTTGAATTTAACGACTTAAATATTCATCTGTACCTCACATTAAACTATGGAACGGCTTCAGAACACTTGGACTTTGACTTTATGGTGCTTTATAATGTTTTTGTGGTTTCGTGAGGCTTCACAATAACACAGAATA